TATGTACCTAATTTGTTTATACAAATTAATAAAATACTTACTAAACCTAATTACCTACTCAAAATTATGATGTTTCGGGAGTTTTATTTTCCGAGATTAATGTAGACCAAATTTTTTTTAATCATGTGATACCTTCTGCCTACCCTACTTCAAATCTCTGTGCACGCCCCTGTGTACACCTCTGCCTACACCTTCGAGGATAAAAGGCGTGATGTTATGTTATGTTGTCTTAACTATAATGAACACAAAATTATCCTCCTTTAAATAGATAGTCAAGTAAATCAATTTATCCTATTTGGTCAAGTAGTTTCGGAGTTATGCATGTGCATACATACATTGTGTTTCATTGTTACATAGGTAATCCTTATTGAGTTTTACATCGAATCACTTAAAATTAACAAATTAAATAAAAATACTGTAAGAGACAAGATATCTAATATACATATAAAATTCTCGTGTCACAGTTTTCGTTGCCATACTCCTCCGAAACGGCTTGACCGATTTTGATGAAATTTTTTGTGCTTATCCGATATCTATGAGAATCGGCCAACATCTACTTTTCATTCCCCTAAATGTTAGGGGTAGTCCACCCCTAATTTTTTTTTGAGATTGCGCGTACGAAGTCGCGGCAGAAGCTAGTAAATTTGTAAAAATTATCACGATTTTTTTGCCAATAAATTGTTCTTGTATCAGGTGAAAGCGGCAATGACTCGATCATACAACAAGAAAGCGACCGCTCTACCGTACGCGCCGGGCGCCGTCAAGAAAGGGAGAGCCAAAGCTGATGATGAATTCGGAGACGATGACCAAGAGGAAGAAGAGGAAAATAATGACAGTGACCCTGAGAATGATGCGTTAATTAAGGTAATTTTATTCTACAACATATCTTATCTTATACTATTATATAAAGCGGAAGAGTTTGTTTGAACGCGCTAATCTTCGTAACTACAAGTCTGATTTGAATAATTACTTTTGTGTTGGATTGTGTATTTATCGAGGATGGCTGTAGGCTATAAAACATCATGCTAAGTGCATCCCGGGTCGGGCAAAGCATTACTGGGTTTTTAAAAATTCTCAGTAGTAGCACGGAGTCTGGAACTGTGCCCAGTATATGGCAATAGGCTCACCCTCTATTACATGGGGCTCATAACATAAATAGTGAAAAGTGGGTGTTACATTGTGCAGTGGTATAATATGCACCTCAGCCTACCCCTTCGAAGATAAAAGGCGTGATGTTATGTAGTAAAGTATGTTGAACAATGTTTCTCGGTGACTGGTTGTAGGTTTAGAATATCTTTGTGGTCCAGCACAAATTACATATTATTTTACTGTTAGCCAGTTTTAGGCGCGACCATGTTACCACACTTCAAGCTATATATGGCCTTCGTACTCATATACTTATTTCGACCAAGAGTTTTAAGTATAAGAGACAATCTTATGTCGGAATACTCAAACGCTACTCAATTTTAAGTCGCGCTTAAGTATAGTTCTGTCTCCACAAATTCTTTGTAGAATGACAGAGATGGCACGATATTTGAGCACGACTTAAAATTGAGTAACGTTTCAGTATTCCGGCAATAATCATTTATTTATTTAAGACATCAAAGGTCCACTTTGTTAGTAACAAAATCAAAAATACGAAACATTTTTACAAATATGTTAAGTATACACATTATACAGACAAAACAAAACAAATACAAATCAAATAAACACACAGAAAATAGACACAGGCAGTATGTTGGTACTAAATAACTATTTGTACTAAAATCTTTATTTCCATTTTACACAGAAAAAGAAAAGTAAAGATACAGAGAAACCAACGACAAGTAAAGGCAAGGCTACATCCAAAGCGTCGACGGGTAAAAAGAAAAAAGAGAAATAGCATCGGCGTTCCGTGATGGCCTTCTTGTTCAGATAATGTGACTTGATGGACCATCGGACCTCTTTTGTACCGTAGTGCAGTGATTTGTGATAAACGTACATACATACATACATACATATTGTGTCAATAATAGTAGACTACTAAAAAATGGTGAAAGTGAAACGTGTACTTAGGCCTTAGTACGAGTTTGTTTTACGTTCGTACGTTACGTACGCGTTCCGCGCTCTGATTGGTTGATTCATTGGCGCCGGCCAATCAGAGTGCCGAACGCGTACTCGTTTCGAATACTTTAAACGTAAAACATACTCGTACTAATGCCTGAACATCAGTGGTTGATTAAACATATGATTAAACTTTACATAGTAGGTAACAATATGAGAATATAGAAGTCAAATACATTCGTTCATTTTATAATGAAACTTTTATTAGATCTTAAATATATTGAGTTGAGTCTGATGAGAGAAATAAATTCGCCAATATAAGACGTTGCAAGCACAGCAATTAATAGTATTGTATGAGTGTTATACTTTCATATCACGAGAAAATTATATAAACGTATGAGGCAGTTATTTGTTAATCGAAATATTTCCCAAATTGTCACGTACTATGCCTAATAAATTTTAAGTGAAGGACATACATTTTTAGATCTACACATTAAGTACTTTTAAATGGTAAATATACATATGTCTAGTGAGACTGGACGCGAATTGCGTGATACGAGATAAAAGTGATAATAGTGGTAGTTTGTGGCCAGTGAACAAGTGTCTAGTGTAGTTTTTAACACATATTAAAATACATTTTTCACGAAAAATGTTTCATAATCCATAATTATAAAATGTAATGTAATAAAATAAGGCTTTCAAAGTTCTGATGATAGAATTAGTAACCAATTCCATTTTAAAAAATTAAGCTCATTATAGTTGTAGAGTGTTTTGTCTGTTTCATTAACTCCTAGTCTGCCAGAGCACAGAGCTAAGTGATACACAATATATTTGTTTATTTATATTAAAACTTTCGTGTGACTTACTAATTTATTATGTTTTCGGTTTACTTGCGTTACTGTTTGACGAGAAACTCGATTAGTTTCAAGCCATGCTAGTGGCTCATATTCATGAGCCGCAATCCGCGAATCGCGACGCGGCGACTGTCGCGCTGCTACCTAAATATGAGTCTCTAGCATAGCTTGAAACAAGTCGAGTTCCTCGTCAAAGAGTTTCACGAGTAAGCAGAAAACATAATAATAATTAATGTATGTTTATATTCTTACTTTCGTGAGACATACTAAATTATTATATTTTCTACCGCCTCAAATATGCCTGTCAAGAGGTCAACACAATTTTTGTTACTAGTCATTGATCAAAACACTCTGCAGTTATTCTAGGTTTATACGATGTTGTGAATATTAAGGTAAGAACTTTAATGTAAAATAGTAATAATTATGATATTCCAAATATTAGTACTATTATTCCTAAAAGGAAGGTAATAGATATATTTGTCTGTCATAGTGTAACTCGTAAATAGATATGAAAGCAAGGCCTAATTTTTCAACATTTCTGTCTCATTATTATAATTGCGTTGGAAACTTTGTTTTTTTGAATATTGCCAATCCTATCAAATAAGGTAATATTAAAATAATATTTAAGAATCTTCACTTCATGCCATGTATAGTAATATTATCTCAGTACTGTTAATCCTACAGCCAAAATGTTAATGTGATCTACTTTTCATGACTCACTTTATTAACTCTTTCCTGCCGGGTTTGGGAGAAGTAGATTAGCATCTATATAAACCTTTGTGAAACTTATTGTATAAACTAATTATTGGGTTATTGTGGATTCTGTCAACCCACTTTCAATAACTCAACTACAGTATATAATATAACTAGCTTGGACCTGACATTTTGTATGGCCAATCTGGTTTTTCCCCTTCTCTTTGGGAAATCCTTGGGTAAAAGTGTCCTATCTCCATTTCCTGGTTCTAAACTACCTGCCCACCAATTTCCAGTCAAATCTATTGAGCCATTCTTGAGTTATAAATAGTGTAACTAACACAATTTTCTTCTTTTATCTATAGAGATAGATTTTGATAGTAGGAAATAAACTATTGTGTTAACCTAATGTGTATGATGTAACTGATGATGTATGAAGATTGATGATTAATAATAACTATGGATGATCCTTCTAATTGTTCTCAAATAACTTCTTACAATAATAACTAATAAAAATTAATGCAGGATAAAAGGGTATCCTTCATCCTGTACTACTACAATATTAACCTTTTCACCGCCAAGCACTTCTATAGAAGTTCGGGATTTTCATGCCACCAGCACCACGACTTCTATAGAAGTTGTTAATTTTAACTATCTTATTAAAATGAATTTACTGTGATTAATAAAAAAAATAACTGTCACTAAGCGGAAGCTCTGAATATATTGAAATTAATGTACCTCAATATGAATTAAATTGTGTTTATCTGAGTGTAATGTCTACAAGTCTCATTTCTGAACAATTTTGTTAATTGGTTTTTCATGTTGATTAAAGTTAACTATTTTTAATTTTCAATTTTATTTACTACTTGACTCATAACCCGCACATTAATATAATTTCTGTATTATGACTGTGTTAGTGAGCACTGATTTGATTTAGAAATATTTATTATCTACATAATCTTACTCTCACTTTCTATCTTCATAATGCGTAAGTATAACATTTGGTTTTGTACCTAAATCATTTATCTGGTTAGTTCAAGATAACATTAATCAGTAATCGGTCAGTATCCTAAACTGCCTCCTTACCTCCACGACCTCCTAACCTCCACGACGTAACGTTAAAAGGAAAAAAAACAAGAAATAAACAACAACATAATAACACTGATCTTTATTACATAATAAATTGAAGCTAATATTTCACATTTACAGAATCTGACTTACACGAACTAGAGTTAATTTTTGCGAATTAGTTTTGCTTTAGGGTCGTCAGGCCTCATTACAACGTAGGTGCTCTTGTACCTCCTGTTGTCTCCGTCCATTTTCACATAATTGTAACATCCTACTGTAGCCATGCCAATGCCCAAGATCGCCAAACCCGTCGTAGCCAAAACTTCAGGAATTTCGTGCCATCCTTGTTGGATTAATTGACCCAGACTACGTCTTGATGCTGAAGCCATTGTAATGTATCGTAAATTTATATAATTTACAAATATAACTATCAACAGCCCTTCGAATTTTCGATGGATTCCTTTCAGAAATGTGACACTGACATTTCATTAAAAAGAAATACTAATGACACTGACAGAGACTTTTTAAATTTTATTCATGACCATAGTTTCAAGTCTTTCAGTCGAATCGAAATATGAACTGATACCAGCCTTGGATATTGGATACCAGTGACAAAAATGTCTGTCCTACTATTTTTCAAAACCACTTAACAAAACAAACAAACCCTGGAGGAATGGAATGGAATGGAATTGTTTGACCTGATACCTGCCGTATCTTTTCACCATCGACCCTCACGACAGAATATAAATCCCCACCATATAAATGGTTGGCAGGCCACAACTGTGCGCATCTCACGATGGTTTCTGCCTCGAACAACAAAACTGTGGAATGATCTGTCGTCGGCGGTATTTCCGAACCGATACGACCTTCAAGAAAAGAGCGTATTCCTTTTTAAAGGCCGGCAACGCACCTGTGACTCCTTTGGTGTTGCGGGTGTCCATGGACGGCGCTGATCGCTTACCATCAGGTGATCCGTCGGCTCGTTTGCCTCCTATACCTTAAAAAAAACCCTGGTTGTTCCGCCCGCCGTGGCGCCATTTCTTGTGAAAATTGTGTTTTAGCCATCCATGAACTCATGACAAGAGAGATAAAAGAAAACTGTATATTTCCCAAAGAGTTTAATATCGACCTTCTTCCCTAAGTACTGGCATTATTTAATTTTTTTATAAACCTAATATGGTATACACCAAAGAGTTTAATATAAGTATACGGAACGCTGCGCTCCGACAGTATCATTGCATCACTTCAACAGCTTTTCTCTGTGTGAATTTATTTGACTACAACTGTTTCGAGCATTGCTAATATAATTTATAAAACACCATTACATAGAAAATGAATCAAATAACAAAACCATTTGGTCATGTGGTTAAATTTAATAAGGGAATAGTTGGATTATTTAAACGAGGATGGTGGGAGATACCAGAAATTATGGCCGCACATTTCATGTCACTAATCGGAGCAGGAATGGCTACATATGGTGTTCTAAAATATATAGAAATGGGTGGTGAGAATAGAGAATATAAAAGTGTATATTATGTTGTAAGATCGGGTGATCCACGTGCTTGTAATCTGAAAAATCCGACATACAGCGAATACATGTGTTAAAATGTTTTATTACTTAATTCCTTGATTAAAATTAATTATATGGGAAGTATATTTTATTCTGCATTCATATTCTTGAATACCAAAACCGTTTCTTGCTCATCATATTATTATAAGTATATTATTATGGCATAATAATATGGCACTAATGACTAGCATGAATTTTGTTCAATCATTGTAGCTGTCAAAAATTGAACGTTCAAACTTCAATCGTGTACATGGTGCAAAGAGTACATGGTCCTTATAAATACATGGTAGATACTAGCTAAGAGTAAAAAAATCTCTTGCGAACTACGTGTTACTAGCTTTTACCTACCAGATAAAAAGTAGCCTATGTGACATATACCAATACACACAGCGCCATCTATACCAATACTTTTGTTTTCCCTCGGGAATATCAATTTTTTCCGGGATAAAAAGTACCCTTATTTAATCCAGACTTCTAACTTTACGTCTGCAAAAATTCAAAGCAATCGGTTTAGTAGTTACGGCGTTAAAGCGGAACAAACAAACAAACTCACTTTCATATTTATAATATTAGTAAGGATAAGGATGAACATCTACAGTAAAAATGATATTGTTTAGGTTTTGCCATTTTCCATCTTTGTAATAACAAAACGCGAATGTCAACGTCACAAATATAAATGACATTGACATTTCTGTCATTGATAAAGGTCAAGAGGGAATAAATTAAACTTGTAAACTGGCCTCTTGCTGTTCGTATTTCTGACGATTCAGTAAAACCGACAGTATTATCTTCAACAAATTCATTGTATTGCTCAACACGAGATACAAACAACGCATTTCGTGCGTGAGTTTCAGTCTGATAGGTTGGGAAAAAATTTAAAAATGGGTTCCCGCTTCCAAGAGGTTCAGCAAGGTCCTCCGATCGAGGTTTTCCAATTAAATCGCATGTTTATGGAAGACCCGCACCAGTCTAAAATCAATTTGAGCATTGGCGGTGAGTTTAGTTACTATTTTACAAAATTTCGATCTCGAAACTGACGATTTTCGTCTTCCAGCAGTTCCAGCAACATGTCTTTTTTTAACCTTAATTATATAATTTCAAATGTTTAGATTTGGTAAACACCTGTTAATTTATTAAACATAATTATATTCAAAGACAGAATTTTATGTATGTCTTATTAATTTATCATTCCTGTTTAAAATATTAATTTATTTAACTTCTATAAGAATATAGTTCATTTTTTTATTTTACTTTCGAATGGTAAACAATATCAATTAACAGCGTATTACATCAATTTATTTGTATGTATGTATTGTAATAGAAGTTTTTATAATATATGTTTTTATTGCAGCATACTGAGATGAGAAGGGTCAGCCATGGGTCCTGCCAGTGGTGAGGAAGATGGAGAAGCAGATGGCTAATGATGAGACACTACTGCATGAATACCTCCCGGTTCTTGGTAAGTTAGAAGTAACATTCCATCATTATTGTTTTAAAATAACATATTACCACTATTATTTATCAATTTGTCAGTTTTTATGCATCTTACTAAATTAACTCAATTTTCTACCTTTATTTGTTTAGTCTCTTTGATGACTTATTTTTGATATCTAAAAATTGTATGTGCATAAAGCTATCAATATATATTTTGATTAGCAACACAATAATTTGCGAATCACTCTACTATCTGTGATAATCTATAATTTTTATATTACTATTACAGATTGTTTGTATAAATGTTGTATATATATATATAAATATATTGTGTTTGTGTATTTATTTAGAAGAATAAATTCTGAGGATAGTTACATCATTTACAACTTTAATACTTTGCGAAATTAGGTTGAAATTCAATAAGATAATCAATTTCTCTATATACATATACAATAAATATTCTTTATATTTGAAGATAGTTGTTTTGACTTTTTTGACCTTTTTGAAGAATGCCAGTTTTTGAACACAACATTTAAAACCAAATTGTTCTGTTAATTAACTTCTTATCAATCAGGTGTTTATGCCTTAAACAAATCTATATGTTATCGAGTGTTACTATGATAACATGGCAACTATAACAACACACTTCAAAAGTTTTAATCCATTTTAGTCATGCTTGTTGTTAAGAAGAATAACTTCTATGTATGTTTCTATTTAAATACGAACTCAACGGTTTATATTGTTAAGGTTTTATTTAAAAAAATGCTGTGACAAACAAGTTCCAGTACCTGTTTCTTATAATAAAACTCTAACACTAAAAAAATTAGACAGATATTCGACCTTATTGGTGATTTATTAAAGAAGGGCTAAATTAAAATTACCCTTAACCAACGAGCATGCATGAAAAAACTGATGACTGCTAAGCGGTTTGTAATAATAATAATCGTAGCAAGTGGTGTTCCATAGTCTCTGCCTAATTGCCATTGGGAGACCGGCCTAAGGTTATGTATGGGTGTTAAAAAATAAGGTTGAATTGAGAACTGTCTCCTTTTTTGATAACATTCAAGCATTAGGTATAATGTAGTTGTAGCTTAGATTAAAACTTGACCTTTTTTTTGTTTGTCATTTTTCATTCCCTACAAAAAGTTTTTAAAAGTCTATAGAATTTACACAAAAATAAATATGTATTAAAACTATGAACAATAATTATGAATTAACCAAATTATGTTTGCTGTTATGAAACTGATTATTTATTATCGGCAACCGATAGATGTCGAAAAGAGCTGATGAATTCCAGTTTCTTTTTGAGTACCTCTTTCTAAATTGGAATGTTTCCATTAAAATTACTATTAGTAGATAGAACCGCCCCAGAGGTTAACACCGCCGCTTCTCATGCACGAGGGTTCGAAACCTATCAACGGCATGTACCAACCTGACTTTTCCTGAGTTTTATGTACTTTCCAAGCTTATTTAGACACCACTGACAAACGGTGAAGGAAAACATCGTGACTGGTCTAATAAATTTCTAATTGTAGTTTGTATTCGCCAACCCGCAATGAGCAAGCGCGGTGATTAATACTCAAACCTTCTCCGTGTGAGAAGAGGCTTTGTTCAGCAGTGGGCAATTATAGGCTGTTGATGATTCCAAAATTATCAAAATTCAAAATTAAATCAAAATAATGACACCCCAACTAAGATTTAAATACATAGGTCATTGTAATACCTGAATTGTAAAGAATAAATTGAGTCTAAATTGATAGGTCAAAACAATAAGGTAGTTTCCTAAATTTATTTTAATGTCCGTCAGGTAGATTATTTTAAATTAAAACATTAGACACGTATTTTTTCTTTTCTTACAAAATTAAATTCTTTTGACGCTATTTTGATTTGAAATGTCGCGTGACGTCACAGCGTGCTACAAAATGTACCACGTTATGACGTAACTACCTCCCACTCCTAACCTTAACGCCATTTCATTTAAGTATTGTAAATTTATACGAAAAAATAAAAAAATACGTGTCTAATATTTTTTCATTATCTAACTGACAGACTAATTAGATTTTTAATTTTCTTACCCTGGAAACAATGCCTGAAAAAGGCCGTTAAGCTGTGCCTGTTATTTCATAAGACCTGTAATGACCTGTATGTATTACCTTAACATGCAAATAAAGACTTTGAGTTTGAGTTTGAAACTACCCTATTCTTGAAGGAGGAAGCGTTCCGATCTTTTTTGGTATGTTAATACATCAAGTAGTTATTACGTTTATCAGTAAAACAGTACTAAAGTGATAATGTTCTATTTATCGTCATAAACAACGAAATTACAGATATATGTTACGTGCTCTTTAGTCTTTATAACCGTGCGCACTTCTTATCTTATTATAGCGTGCAAAATGATATAATCGGTTGTGTGGCTATCTACATATGTTATTTTTCGGATGGAAACATTATTTAACCCAATGTTTTAAGTCTTTGACCGCCATTGGAAAACTGTTGAAGGCCAACCTTCCCTCAATGTCGGTCACCGGTGACCCCCATGGCGTTTAACGTGTTAACTCGTCGAGTACCGGTTTTGTAGACACAATTATAGAACAATAGGTTGCGGTCACCGGTGACCGCTTGGTGTTTGACAGTTTAAGGTTTAACCGCTTGAATTGTATTTTTTATTGTATCTTATATACGGGCAGTATATAAGATACAATAGAAAATTAATTGTGTCTCGCGTGGATCCACGTTTAGACACACGATGGGTTAAGCACTAACGCATTTTGTCTAAAGGGGCATAAGTTACTTGATACATAAGACATACGCTTGAACCCCCCCCTCCTCAAAAAAGTCACATATACGTGCATATGCATAAATGCATTGCCCAACCTGGGCAAGTGGTACTCGAACAAAACAGGCATCAGAGATCGTCTTATAAAAACATAAAAAAAAAAATGTTATCTTTACGTATGCCATCTTCAGTACCTATAAGTCATGTTATTTTATGCTGTTAAAACCAGTTCATTCGCGTCACTGATAAATAAGATACCATAAATTTAAATAGCCATTAATAAACACAATGATAATATTGATCGTCAATCTTCGAATCGATCGTTTGAAATCGGCCGGACATAATCACATTAAAATAGCTTTACTCAAATATAGTTTCAAATACCCGCAGCCGTGGACAACATAACGGGTTACCGGTGCTCCGGCTAGAAGCAGAAGTAGGAACGGAGTAGCTTTTAGTCAATAACTCTGTCATTTTAGAAAGAATTTGCAGTGACAGAACTATATTTAAGTGCGATTTAAAATTTGTCTCATCTCGTCTCAACTCAACCAAGGCGGGAGGAGCCATTGGATGTATTTTCTCGCCTAAAAAAGAAGTTTTAAAAGTATCTTTTTGGTCTAGCGTAAAATGGACATTGCATTATTACGTGCCTGAATTCTTCTCCAATAAAATGAACGTCTGAATCCTTGAAGGCATGTTCTGTACGTCCACTGCATCAAACAATGATGAAATAAAGTATTAATTTATTTCATTTCTATGTATGTACAAATCAATATTATTGTTGTTTTGTCTCTTACTGAGATTCCTTCCAAGCGACTGACAAGAGTTATTACTTATTACTGTTTCATCATAAATATTACTTAACGTCATGTTTGTTTATATAATGTATAACGCGTCAGATGAAATAAATATTATTCATTAACTAGATCAGGGCTGTCTAAAGTATACCGTCGGGCTAATTAAATTTCTTACAAAAGCTGGGAGTCCAAAAAAATATTGTCAGTTATGTAATGACGTTTAACATTGTATTCTTTACTCACAGACAAAACTTACACTGATATTTATTATTGTTGTTACTCATAAGATGAAGATGTTGAGATTAAAATGTGTGTCGCGGGACACACGAATAAAAGCCGCGGGCCTTTGTTTGGACAGCCCTGAGCTAAATAATGGATGGGCATTGGGAACATCCCTTTAACGTAGGTCTTTTTAGTAGCACACTTCTGTCTTCTCTTCTTCTGTGACTATGATAATACTAGCTTCTGCGGGCGGGTGTCTCCGCGTTCCCGTGGTAAAGTAACCTATGTGTTACCTATTCCAGATAATAATCTACCTGTGTTCCATTCATGCCGATCTTTTCAACCGTTTTGCCGTGGTTGACTAATAAACACACACACACACACACACACACACACACACACACACACACACAAACACACACACACACACAAAGTCTGTGACTTTGAGTCTTTCGCATTTATAAATATTAGGAAAGATAGTGTTGTTTCAATGGATTGCTGTTATAGAAATTACTGCCTGCTTCGTTGGCCGAGTGGTTGCAAGTGCGACTGCCGGGCAAGGGTCAGGCAAAGTATTACTGGGTTTTTAAAAATCTAGCAACGAGTTAGCAATAGGCTCATTTATTTATTACATGGGAGTCATCATAACATGAATAGTGAAAAGTGGGTGTTACTTCTGTATGCACCTTGCTTGGTCTTGGAGGGTAAAGTGATGTTATGTTATAGAAATTAAACAAAGTATGTTGTTGCAGGCATGGAACAGTTCACTGCGGCGTCTACCGCCATGCTGCTGGGAGAAGACAGCCCCGCGCTCGCTGCAGGCCGTGTAAGTATTATACTATAGTTGTTGTTTAATAGGCACACATACATTGATACGTCTAGATCTATGTAATCTGCCATTATACTTGGGTACACCCAGCATCTTTCCTTGCTTCGTTTGTCGAGTAATCGCACTCAAACCTAACTGACGTACCTAACTACTGAAGTACTGAGGTACCTAAGAGCATTCATATGCCAGACAAAATGTTGGAGTTTGTGTTTGATAAATAATTTAGTATTCCGAACCCATCAAGTCCAACTGAATCAGAGACTTAGTAAAAAAGGAGCACTCAATAAAACCTCTTTCTATCTATCTAGCTTCCGAAAATCCAGTACTATGGTACGGTGGCCAACAGGTCAAGGTCAACCTATCATTTTCTGTCACAATTCTGAACATATAAATCTTATATCTTATCTTATACTATTATACAAAGCGTATGAGTTTGTTTTTTGTTTGTTTGTTTGAACGCGCTAATCTCCGTAACTACAAGTCTGATTTGAATAATTCTTTTTGTGTTGGATAGCGTATTTATCGAGGATGGCTATAGGCTATGAAACATCACGATATGAGCTGAGCAGAGTATGAAACTGCGCGGAAGTAGTTAGTATATAATAATCTTCAACTTTATTTTATTGACATAAAGTAAAGAAGATACAATGAATAAACTTGACATATTGGTAGGTTGATTCGATCACTGTACAACTAATGGAGCTCTTGTGATACACACAGATCGCCTTGTCACAGAAAATAGAAAACTAGCGGCCTCGACAGACGTTGTCCTGCATAGTAATAAATAATAATAATATAATAATAGGTTTAGATAAATAACCTAGAAACCGACTGCAGCGACATCTGCCGGACTGATTTGTGAATCTAAACCATCCAGGGCGCCACTCAAACGCATATAGACAAATTCATTTAAATCGGTCAAGCAGTTTAGGACGAGTTCAATGACATACACACGTACATCAGAATCACAGATATTTATAGAAAAAACAGTAATGCTAATATTGTGACCACATTAAATGATGCAACTTTGCCTAGATACCTAGTAAAATAGGATAGTTGTATTTTGTCTGATGCAACAATTATGTTGTTATGGTTGACTGACGACAAATTATGACATCCGGGTACGTTAACTTCAATTAATTCTGCTGCTCTATTCTATTCAGGAATTTGTATATTGCACAATAATATTACAGTTTTGCGTAATGAGTATAGTTATAAATAGTAGTATTAATTTGTATTATTAGGCCGTGGGACACATGTATCGTCAAACATATGTTGTTGACTAGTATGTACGTTGAAACTGTAATTGTTAGCTGAATATAGCTCATAAAGGTACTTATATGTTTCAACTATAAGGATTATTAAAATTTGCCCGTTTGTTATCAACCTCTATTAAATTTTAAGGAACCCTTAAGCTAATTTAGGTGACAATTAATTTTATTTTTGTTTATGGTGTAAACAAAAGTGTTGTTAAATATCACCTAACTCACCTATAAGTGTCACTTTACAGTACAAGTTAGGAGTTGTTATGTGACTGTTAGAGGTAATTTATGAAATTAGCCATAAGTTCCCCTATTGATAGAAGTAGAAGCCTTTTACTTAATGTTCTTTGTCTATAAAATGTCCATGTGTTGGTTCCAGGCATTCGGAGTTCAGACATTGTCTGGTACAGGGAGTCTCCGCGTCGGCGCTGAGCTGCTGAACAAGCAACTCAACTACACCAACTTCTACTACTCCGTGCCTACCTGGGGTATGTATCTATTTAAACTGTCAAACACCGCGAGGACACCGGTGTCCGCACACCTATTATTCTTTAATTGTGTCTATAATGACGGTACTCAAAGACTAAATATTCAATTCCTTACATACTATTACAGAGAACTGCCATAACAACACATAACATAACATCACGCCTTTTATCCCGAAGGGGTAGGCAGAGGTGCACATTATGCCACTGTACAATGTAACACCCACTTTTCACTATTTATGTTACGAGTCCCATGTAATAGGGGGTGAGCCTATTGCCATATACCGGGCACAATTCCAGACTCCGTGCTACTACTGAGAATTTTTTAAAAACCCAGTAATACTTTGCCCGACACGGGAATCGAACCCGAGACCCCTTGCTCGGCAGTTGCACTTGCGACCACTTGGCTAACGAGGCAGGAACTGCCATAGTTAAAATACCAATATTACTTTGCCCGATCTCTTTTTTATGGGATAAACCGGTAAACGAGCAGACGGATCACCTGATGGTAAGCAATCGGCGTTGCCCAAGGGCACTTGAAACACCAGAGCGTTACCGGCCTTTTGGGCATTAGGAATTTGAGGATTATTGGGGATTCAGAGATTGGGGAAATTGGGCCTCTTGCGACCATTCCAGTAATAAGACTATCTTTATTATCAATTTATCATATCATAGCAACTTTAGATATTGTATTTCAAAGTTAATGATACACCACACGCGAGGTAGATAATCACAATTAACTTAATCCTTAAACTACATTATTTACCCATTTAGAATTAGATAAATATTTTATTTTGTTTTTAAAATGGCCTTAAGTAAAATTGAGGGAGATTCATATCGGGAGTTGCGCAAATTACCTACCTAGTGTCGTAATTAGGTAGGTTTAACCACTCATTTTCAAAGGCTGGTGAAAAAAAATTGATTATAGACTTACTTACTTACTTACTTACTGAATTTATTTAGCTTTACCACCTTGATATGGGACTTACAGCATAACTCTCGAAATTTGGGAGTCTTTGTTTAAAGGCGGAAAATCATTGAATGACTTCTCCGGCCTGAGAGTCTGTCTACGCCTTTAGTGAAATGTTGCAATTTGATATTAGGATAATCACCCCTTTTTCTAATTACGTTTCTAATTAAGTCATAGTGTTGAAATACTTGATTGAAGTGTTTAATACATTTGGCTTAATTTATCTAAAGATAAAAGTAAAGTGCGTCAGATAATACATAAAGTGGTTAATTAAGATATATATGATTGTACTAATTGCTGTATGTTAATGCTAAAGTGCTGTGACATGCCGTTAGAGGTCAGCTCTTATTTGCGACAAGGGCATAAAAACGACTGCATATTTGGTGCGGTTGCTGAACAACCGGCTGGTAAAACTATTTGTGAGGTTCACAAATTGTTGTTCCAGGTCTAGGTGGCATGTGTATGTGCAATTGTATGATCGTCTACGCACTTACGACACGCGAGACACATTTAAGTGTGGGAAAGCCATGCTTCGGCGCGAATGGGCCGGCTCGACCGGAGTGATACTATTGGCCTCAGAAAACCGACGTGAAGCAACGCTTGCGTTGTGTTTCGTCGTGTGAGTGAGGTTACCAAAGGCCCAAATCCAGAATCCCCAACGATCCTCAAACTCCTAATCCCCAAAAGGTCGGTAACGCACTTGTAACGCCTTTGGTGTTTCAAGTGTCCATGGGCGACGCCGATTGCTTACCATCAGGTGATCCGTCTGCTCGTTTATCGGCTTATGCCATAAAAAAAATGAGAAAATCCTCGTTAAAAAAATAAAAATAGAATATTGTAACGTTGGGCTTTCAATTGCAGCCTCTACCTACGTCAGGGCCGTCAGGGTGTGGGATGGAAATGAGGTTTGATGCGCGAAAACTGTAGTGAAAGGCGTTTATTAACTGAACAATTGTTCTTAAAACTATACAACAGAAGTTAAGTTAAAATTAGTTAAGTTAATATGTAACCGGGTGCCTCGCGGCTAGTTGTTCACTGTCGTTGGCTGGGTTCGCCTTCACCCCATTAAGGGTGCGTCTGAGCAAAGACTATAAAGGACCCTTGCGCAACATCTGGGCCGCAGCTGGACGGTGGTATCTCAAGCCGCCGTCAGGTATGCGCCGGAACCTATCAACCTTCGTGTTACAATATTTATAAACTATCTACAACAACTCTATAACAGACACTCTCTTCAACAGAAAACCACCATCTTGTATTCGTAAACTCCGGTTTCACAAGCCCTCGTACCTACCGCTACTGGGACGCGAAGGCCCGAGCGATTGATTTCGAAGGCCTCATCGAAGACCTCCGCAATGCCCCTGAGAACTCCGTGATATTGCTCCACGCGTGCGCCCACAACCCCACTGGCTGCGACCCCACTCATGAACAGTGGGAGAAAATTGCTGATGTCATGGAGGTAAGGAGTTTTTGCAGAACCATTATTATCAAGCGCAAACTAAGCAAGTGCCTACGACGCCAGGTTACAGAAAGACACCACGAGACGTATGTGCCCAACTGCCAAGAGATAGGGGGCGGTACCAAAAAAAGTAGTGGTGCTCTAGGTTTAATGGGCTTCTGGTATATACTTTTAGTCTTTTTTTTTAGTTATTGAATAACGGTTGGTGTGGTAGAAGAATGTAAGTGGTTGGAATGTATTGTTTTGTGTAATGACGGAGTTTTTAGGGTGTTTATCTTTGGTTATATTTGATTTTTAGATGACTGTTAATCGTGAAAATCTCTCCATTTTGGCTGCTTGTACGATGAAAGATGAAATTTTAATCAATATAAACTATATCTAATCAATATACTCTTACTTGATAAATTACCTTCTTAGTAATTTTAAGTCGAAGCATTTTAGCCTTGTAATCGTAATTTTATTATTCTAGAATATTAAATCTAGATCCAATCTAATCTAAACATTATAACTTTCGTAAGACATACTAAATTAATTATTATGAGTATGAGCTTCCTGCATAGCTTTATACTAGTCGAGTTCCTCGTCAAACAGTTACTTAAGCCGAAAACGTAATATTTAATCTAAAAATATCCTCTTTCTCCAGGAGCGCAAGTTGTTCCCATTCTTCGACAGCGCATACCAGGGCTTCGCATCAGGCGACCTAGACCAGGACGCCTGGGCCGTGCGCTACTTCGTCCAACGAGGCTTCGAGCTCATCTGCGCACAGTCTTACGCCAAGAACTTTGGATTGTACAGTACGTATTTTTTAACCATCGTTTTGCACATTGCTATTCCTTTTAAACTATTACTTTCTGTAAACAAAAGAGTTGGCTATAATTTATGTAGGAAATTGATCTGAACTTCAAAGGTTCACATTTATCAAAGATCACTGATGGCTTGTCTCTGTCAAATTTGTAATGCCCTCGTCGGCTGTTACGATATGTAGAAAGAAAAAGTGGGAGCAGCGACTAATATAGGTACGTGTTATATTCCTATAGTAACCATTATACAGAGTTGGGCAATTATATCAAACTCATAAATTTGAGACTTTCGGTACGATACGACATGGCAAAGGATTATCAAGTAATATATAATCAAGTTATTTTGAGTCATGTTATTTGCTCGCCATACGTATCCGGGTCACTTTGTGTCGAAATTATGATTTTTAAGCTAGTTGAAATAAGGTTGTAACTTGTAAATTGTGCCACGGTATACTACGGCACTTCGCAGCACAATTAACCCTGTCATGCGCCAGTATGTGGATGTGGGGGAGAGCCATGCTTCAACACGAATGGGCCGGCTAGACCGGAGTGATACCTACCACGGCCTCACAGAAAACCGACGTAAAGCAACGCTTGCGTTGTGTTTCGTCGTGTGAGTGAGGTTACCGGAGGCCCAATTACCCTCCCCTTTGCCAATCTCCCCAATTCCTGAATCCCCAACGATCCTCAAACTCCTAATCAGCTCACGCTCAAACGCACTTGTAGCGCCTCTGGTGTTCCAGGTGTCCATGAGCGACGCCGATTGCTTACCATCAGGTGATCCGTCCGCTCGTTAACCGGCTTATGCCATAAAAAAAAAGAAAAGTTTGGTCTTAGTGAGTATTTTTCAACTGTTAATGATGCATATGTTCAACGAGCATTGTTGTTTGTTCGTCAGACGAGCGAGTGGGCAACCTGGCCGTGGTGGTGTCGGACCCGTCCGTGGTGCAGACGCTGCGGTCGCAGCTGACGTGGATCGTGCGCGGCATGTACTCCAACCCGCCCGCGCACGGCGCGCGCGTCGTCACCAACGTGCTCGCCAACAAACAACTCTTCGACGAATGGTCAGTACTCCACATCATCATCATCATCATCAAAAAGTCAAAAAAGTCAAAAGTCAAAATCATTTATTTCAATTAGGCCAGAATGGCACTTTTGAACGTCAAAAAAAATACATATTAAAAGTGAAGCTATTTGCTCATTCCAAGGTGTAGATTCCTATGGAGAAGAACGAGTAAGAAACTCCATAGGTTACTCTTTTTCAATCACGTTCACAATACAATTTACTAGTTACCAGCTAGCAGCAGCAGTTAGTTAGCAGCTAGCAGCTATTTACTAGTTACAATTTACTAGTCATCAGCCGATAGACGGTCATTATTGGACGAAGGCCTCCCCCGTAGTCCTCCACCTCGATCGACATCTCGCGTACACGTTTCGATTACTTGAAATTCAACGTAAAAAAACTCGTACTAAGTTAAGGTAAGGTTCTGGTTTATCTGCTTCTATATTATGGGAATTCTCTCATCTTTACAGGAAGGACCACATCAAAGCCATGTCGTCCAGGGTGACGGCAATGAGAGAGGCTTTGAGGGCTGAACTTGTCAAGTAATTTCTTTTATTATTCATTAAAATTAGAATATACGTCTTACGTAAACTCTTCGACGTTGCTCAACTAGTTTCATGCCACAATGGAGCTCACAAATTATATTCGCTTGAGAAACAACTAACTCGTATCAAGATAGAAACAAGATAGTCAATTCTTTTGATTGCTAAAACGACATAGTTGCTATGGTGGCTCAATTACTGACTTCTAAGCAACGTGTAGCGGGTTCAATTCCCGTACGATGCAACTGTATATAATCCACAAATTGTTGTTTCTGGTCTACGTGACATGTGTTTATGAAATTGTATGTTTGTAAATGCACTCACGACACAGTATAAAAACCAAGTGTGAAACAAAGTTTGTTAAAAATATCTTTTCTGCAAGTTAATTTTAACCATAATTTTTTCAGACTCGGTACACCAGGCAATTGGGACCACATTGTCAAGCAGATCGGTCTGTTCTCCTACACCGGGTTGACCCAAAGACAGGCGGAATACCTAATTCAAGAATACCACATATATCTATTGAAATCTGGCCGTATTAATGTGTGTGGGTTAAACCCATCTAACGTCCAGTACATGGCCAGGGCTATGCACGATGCCGTGACCAAATTCCCCAATGAAGAGTAATTCATTTATTTCTTTTATTTCTTGTATGGTGCGCCTTATATGTGTAATTGAGTAAATTGACGAAGAATGTCTAAATTGACATAATTTTGCTGGTTGATTTTAAACCTTGTTTAAATGCGTTAAGGCCAGTTTTTGTATAGAATCCGATTGCGGTTATGATAATAGATATCAGTGTAGCGATGTGTTTGTAAATGAAAATCAATTTTATAATCTTAGCAGTAAGGGCAATTTTTTATCATTATTTTTATAGAGCACGAGGGAAATTGAACCTTATTGTAGTTGAAAACAAAGTTCAATTATGCCTGAACATTATATTTTGTCAACTTACTTTATTATTGTTATAAGTGCGTACCATACGTGAAGGTCGAAGGTTTTGTGGGCGTCGGTGAATGGTTGTTCGAACTAAAACATTTATATAACATGTTTTATACCACGATACATTTATTTTCATTAAATTGGCCGTTTTTCGAAAGCAATTTCACTACAAAAACAATTATTTCCTAGGTACAAATCTATCAGGTAGGTAGAACAAAAAAGATCAGAGGACTTAGTACGAGTTTTTTTACGTTAAAAGTAATCGTGACAAGACCGCGTTCGGCGCTCTGATTGGCCGGCGCCAATGAACCAACCAATCAGAACGTCGAACGCGTTAAACTGTCAAACACCAAGCGGTCACCGGTGACCGCAACCTATTGTTCTATAATTGTGTCTAGCAATTTCACTACAAAAACAATTATTTCCTAGGTACAAATCTATCAGGTAGGTAGAACAAAAAAGATCAGAGGACTTAGTACGAGTTTTTTTACGTTAAAAGTAATCGTGACAAGACCGCGTTCGGCGCTCTGATTGGCCGGCGCCAATGAACCAACCAATCAGAACGCCGAACGCGTTAAAAGTGCTCGTACTAAGGCCTCAGACGGCAAATATTTAGTATACTTCGCTTTGACAAAAAAGGGTAACATAACGAAGGCTACATTTTTTTTTAGGTAACGTTATTGTGTTAATGTCCACGGAGCATTAATTAGTATTAATAATAAAGTGGAGTAGTGTCAAGTCTCAAAACAAGAGACAAGTCGCGGGTTTGAATCCTGCACGGGGTACTGTACATCATACGTTGTAACCCTACCTAACACTTTAGAAAATAAATAGCGTGATGTTATCTTATTCTTATTGTCTTTCAAGAAACTATACCACGCACCAGCGCCTCTGGCGATATAATCAAGAACTACATTTACATACAATACCGATACTCCCGCTCACACAATTTTCAACCTTACCACAAAGAGTATAAGATCGTTAATCGAGAGATTATATTTAAATAGACAATTTGCACAGCTATAGCGTATTATGCATAATTCACGTTGATAAGTAATTTATTGTTAAAACGTATATTTTTACAGCCGTATTCACAAACTATTAACATAAGGTCTAAAGACCGAAATAATAAAAATGCAAAATAATAAATGTTGTTTGTGAATACCAACTTAACTATACAAGTAATTGTAAAGTTTAACAATATCTATTTAAAATATTTTATTTCATATGTAGTGTAATATTTATATTTATATAAATATATAAAGCGATACATTATATCTATGCCAAAGAATAGTGAATTATAAAATCCAAGAAAGGCAAATGGAATGATATTACTGGTTTACATAGTACGTAGAAGAGATGCGTTACAGTTGCGTGGTAGTCGCGTTAACGCAGCGTATATATGACGAATGATAATTTTGTACGGAGCCTTAGAAGTGACTAAAGGGAATAGATTTGTATGGTGAGATTAATGTATCGCTTATCGACTATTCTTTCACGAAAATATTAAATTACTTATGAATTGAGATTAATTTCAACCTTACTGTTCTACACACAAGACTCGTTTTCATTTGATACAAGATCATTGGATAAATCTTGTGGAAGAGCTTTTCAATTAATTTTATATCTAATAATATTATTATGTAATTATAAAATAATATTTATCTACACATTCAATTTTGAACTTTATATTTTTTGTATGTAAAAGTAAAAATATAAATAATATAATATATTTACAGATATTTTTGCGCTTGAAGTGGTGCGTTACTGAAATGTTTTTCAAGAATTAAATTTGGAACAAGATTTAATGAAGGAAAGAGAAGGAATCAATGGCTTAGGTTTTAAATAACAGCCGACTACTCAAACGCTATTTAAATGTAGATACGATCCGTCACGATTAATACAAGATAAATAACAAGACATCATAAAGTGACTGTTTGAGTATAAGACCGTAACAAGTAATACATAAAAATATGTTTTTTAAACGGTTTTAATGAGCTCTTTTCTACCAAACAGAGCCTTTCGTTTGGTATCCATAAAGGAGGTGATTGTGAAAAAGATTAGATTATATCATTGTATCGTCATCAAAATTAGGAGTGTGTACCAAATATCAGATCGATCTATCGTCAGGAAGGAGGTCAAATTGGGATGATGACAGGGTATGAAAATTAAAAATCTAATTAGTCCGTAAGTTAGGTAATTAAAAAATATTAGACACGTATTTTTATTATTGTCGTATAATAAAACAATACTTAGATAAAACGAATCAAAGTTTCGAAGTGGGAGCTATAACGTCATTTCTACGTATAAAATGTACATAGAAGTGACGTCACGCGACATTTCAAATAAATATATCATCGAAAGTATTAGTTTCTGTAGGAATATAAAAGATACGTGTCTAATGATTTAAAATAATCTATCAGACGGACATTTAAATAAAAATTAGGCATCTACCCTATTACAATTAATAATTTTGACCCAACAAAAGAAGAAAGCTTAATAATACCGTTTAAAATGCTTTCATACCTAAAAGCAGAGCATCAGGGTAACTGCCCTATTTGCTTTATTTTTACAACGAATAGGCATAATTAGGCATAAAGGCATTCATTACTCGACATTAAACCAGAGCATAGATAAGAACAAATATTACAAAACTACTTTTTATATAAAATGTGTTATTAACTTTGCATTTCAATATTTATTTTAAATAACGTTCGATCATGCATTTTTTGTTGCTATAATAAATAGATTTTAAATATTAAAAGCTACAGATATTATTTATCCTGTTCAAAAAATAATTTTACGATTGATACAATTATTGCTTGAATTTAAAAAATTTCAGAGTTGCCATATACAAAAAGTGTTTTCTCAATCGCAACACTGGCAATTCTATAAACAAATTTCGCAGAAATTAAGAAGTACAGCAATAATGAAAATTACAACGTGCTTTGTCAAACGAAAAAATATTTTTATAAGACGCATTTTATCTAACCAATTTATTTGGCTGTGATTTGAATTTTGGAAATTATTTTAACAATTATTGTCTTTAATATACAATGTCAAAGTGCAAATCTTGTTAGATATATTATGGTACATTTGGGCCACTACTAACCAAAAACAATACCAGAATCGCAGTATTACAATGCTTTTAGTTACATTACATATTTTATTCATTGCTTTTACGACTTTTATCTAGGATTATTCTAGAATATGTTGCAAATACATAATCTCATTTGTTATAATATTGTTTTATTTTATTTTTCCTGTAATTTGGTCATTTCTTTTCAGTGATGCTCGCTCCAAATTGTAGTGGATCGCCGATGCCACGGTATGTGTTGTTATACGGGTGATGGGATGGACGTACATTCAAATTCTATGTATTATTATTATTAATAATAAATGTAAATAAAACCTTTGATAGCAACACAGACCGTCACTATTTTCTTTTATCTATTTCTCTTTGGTAATGGGATAATATGATATAGAAAACTACTTTTTTGTTTATATCATTCTGACTGTTTTAAAACTCTGGACGAATGAAAGATACTAAAAATAGTAGCTATAATTTCTTTGGTCACTTTCATTTTTTTTGGCTATGAGCATTTTATACATAAACATTGGTGATACATCTGCACGCTTGACGGGCAGTTTGTAAGGGTTCAGGTTTTCAAAAACCGCTGTTACTCAGTGTAGCTTTTTTATGCCATAAGCCGGTAAACGATCAGACAGATCACTTGATGGTAAGCAATAAGCGTCGCCCATTGATAACTGGAACACCAGAGGCGTTACAAGTGCGTTACCGGCCTTTTGGGATAAGGAATTTGAGGATTGTTGGGGATTCAGGGATTGGGGTAATTGGGCATCCGGTAACCTCACTCACACGACGAAACAACACAGCGTTGTTTCACGTCGGTCTTCTGTGAGGCCGTGGTATCACTCCGGTCAAGCCTGCCCATTCATGCCGAAGCATGGCTCTCCCACACTTAAAAGTGTCCTTGTAGTTTACAAATGCATTCCAATTTCAAAATAAAAACTCCAAATATAACATTTTATAGGTTTATTTATATAAATATATACATTTCTATGTCTCCATAGCATCTTCACTGGGCGCAGAGGGTGGTGTGATCAAGGGCCGCGACTTGAAACGACTGTCAACTGTAACAAACAAATTGGAGTTTATCAAAGTCAATTATTAATATTGTTATAGAATACTAGCTAGTATCACCCTAGTTCCTATTGATCGCAGCCCGTGGCGTGATGTATTATAGCCTTTCTCGGAAAATGCGCTATCCAACACAAAGTTCAATTTGAACCAGTAATTGTGGATATAAGCGCGTGTTCAACCTCTTCAGTTTCATTTCTTTTTTTAAACCTTTCCCTACACTAGTATTTTCTCCTGTGCCGTGGGTGCGTTTACAAACATACAAGTTCACATACACAATGACACCCAGACCCGTAACATCAATTTGTGGATCACACAAAGAGTTGCTCCGTGCGGGAATCGAACCCGCGACACGTTGCGCGGCAGCCAGTGGCCCAGCCACCGCGCCAACAGTGCAGTCAATATACATACATATAGTACAGATTTAACATTTAGAATCTTTATCTATTGGTGATTGGTCACCAGACTCAGCAGTAACAATCGGTTAGTTAATTTTTGCTGTCAGAAACCAGGTGTTTGTAAGTTTGTTGATTCGTTAGACTTTCAATTTCTATTCACACAATCTAAATAACATTTTAGGTAAGTAATTCACGTGGGGTAAAGCTTGTTAAAAGCTAAGTAATATAAAGTAAGTTACATTGTTCACTGGTGGTGAGGTCGACGAGCTCGATGTAGTTCTGCTTGTTGTCCCCGCCGAGGGCGAGGCAGTAGGCCGCGTCCGGACACAGCGCCGCGCACAGCGCCTGCCCCACGCGACACGCGCGCTCGCTCACTTGCTGCGGACACCCACTGGAACATTATATCTTATTAGTATCACTACATACTATAAAATAAAGTCGCTATCCGCCGTCTGTCTGTCCCTATGTATGCTTAGATCTTTAAAACTACGAAACGGATTTTGATGCGATTTTTTTAATAGATAGAGTGATTCTTAATGAAGGTTTATGTATAATACATGCATATTGCACTCGTGCGAAGCTGGGACGGGTCGCTAGTACAAAATAACAGGGGTAGTAGAATTGCAGGGTACATACTAGAACAATTTCCCAATATCTATTCATCCTTCAAAGGTACCCCGTTTCTTTTCTTTATTGCATACATTAACTATGAAATACTCAAACTACAATTTTTTTGTAAAATGACAGAGATAGAACTTATTTACGATTTAAAATTGTAGCCTTTCGGTATTCGGGCGTAAGTATTGTAAAAATAATAATTATAATAGATAGGGAACATCAGCAGTCTGAATACCAGCCTCTACGCTTCACAACCAGCTTCGGGAAACTAACATTTAACAGGTTCATGTTGATCAGAGAACGCTGTGTTTATGGCAGTTTATTGTGAAATCCACAGGAAGAATGTGATGACAAATATATTCTACAGCACAGGACAAACAAAACCCACATTTATGATCATGCTTGATGGTAAGAAACCGACGCCGCCCGTAACTACACTCGTAACACTAGAGGACTTACAAGCCCGGTGTAAGTCTTAGATATTGGATATAGAGAAGGTTCATATCGTATAATCGCTTACCAGCAGGCGCGATAGTGGTCAAACGTCGGCAAATAAAATATTTAAAAAAAATTGGCCCTCCGGTAACCCCGGTCACACACAATCGTAAACATGTCGTATACACTGCAATCATTGTTTCACACTGGTTTCCTTTAAGACGAAAACATAGAATAACATATATTCTTACCCAGAAATATCCCAAGTCTTGAGTTTCTCGTCGGTGCTGACAGTTACCATGAGTCCGGGCACTCGGTCGCTCAGTATGAGACCGGTCACTTCCTTCTCGTGCGCGTCTATCGTCCACAGCGGCTCATCGTTCCTGCAGTCTACGTACGCTACCTTGCCTTGGTTGTTACTCATCTGTTGGACAAAAATGTTTATTATAGATAACAACATATTTTAATAAGTGCAGTATGTATAGATCCTGTAGCTGTGGACAACCTAACGGGTTACCGGGGCTCCGGCTCAAAGCAGGAGTAGTAACGGTGTGGTTTTTAGTCAGTAAGAGTCTGACACTTCCGCCTCACTCAGGCGGAAGAAGTCATTCGATGATTTTCCCCCCTTAAAAAAACCCAAGATGGGAAAGTCATTCGATGATTTTCCCCCCTTAAAAAACCCAAGGTGGGAAAGTTATTGGAAGATTTTACTCTCAAAAAAGAGGAATAAGATGTGATACTATGTTGCCCATTATCCAAATGCCTCGTGGGTGTTTCAGAATCGATTGAGGGTCGCGAAACGTATGGAGTATTTTCAGTTTTCGGAAATTCATTAGAGTGAAGTCTATAGATGGCCCTTTATTACATGGAGCTCATGTCTGACGTACGATGATATGATCGTTACATGTTAAGAAAAACTTAATATTGAATCCATTATCTTATACACAGTTAATTTATGTTTATAAGTAACTAGCGAACCCCAAGAACTTTGTTTCGCCTTGGAAATTTCTCAGCACCTAACAATAACAAACACAACAGTTTCTCTCGAGCACCAGCAACTTGTTCAGCTATTCTACAGATCTGTGCAGGATATTTAGCGATTCATTTTTCTATTATCTAACACTTAATAAAATCGTAGAAAAGTCAAAACTGTACATTGAGTAGGTACTTTTTAAAAAGAATACTTGGAGCGTGATCTACAATCGATATTGAAGCCAAAAATATGTTTTTTTAGAATTTTTGTCTGTATGTATGTACTGCATGAATATTACTAGCAAGTCGGGTCAACATATAGGCTACATATTATCACGCTATTACCTACGGGACTGAATCAATTCTGACGACATTCATAAATATCCCCTGATAAAAATAGCTGGCTGATTAAAAATAGCTGCGTTGACTGCACGGTTGGTGCGGTGGCTGGGCATCCGGCTGCCGTGCAACGTGTCGCGGGTTCGATTCCCGCACGGAACAACACTTTGTGCGATCCACAAATTATTGTTTCGGGTCTGGGTGTCATGTGTATGTGAACTTGTATGTTTGTAAACGCACCCACGACACAGGAGATAACCCTAGTGTGGGGCAAAGCCTTTTTTAAAAATAAAAATAAAAAAACTAATTCAAAAGCCTGAATTCTATTAGAAGTCATTATTCCACGCGGACGAAGTCGCGGGAGACAGCTTGTAGATAGTTATATACTTACAGCAAAACAGAATGGGTTCTGTGAGTTCCACACGACTCGTTCTATCTCGGGCGCCAGGTTCCACGCTCGGTGCGCGTCGGGCGCGCGGCAGTCCGACACGCGCGCGAACCCGTCGCACGAACCACTCACCAACGTCTGAGCCTCCAGGGGGTGGAACGCCAGTGATTGTACCTGCGAATATAATCATCATAATAAAATATCAGTAAAGCGATACTGCTGACCATCGGCCTCCCTCAAACTCACAATAAATAATAATACTATTATATAAAGCGGAAGAGGGCTGCCTCGTTGGCCGAGTGGTCGCAAGTGCGACTGCCGGGCAAGGGATCTTGGGTTCGATTCCCGGGTCGGGCAAAGTATTAATGGGTTTTAAAAAAAAATCTCAGTAATAACACGGAGTCTGGAATTGTGCCCGGTATATGGCAATAGGCTCACCCCCTATTACATGGGACTCATAACATAAATAGCGAAAAGTGGGTGTTACATTGTACAGTGGCATAATGTGCACCTCTGCCTACCCCTTCGGGGATAAAAGGCGTGAAGCTATGTTATAAAGCGGAAGTTTGCTTTTTTGTTTGTTTGTTTGAACGCGCTAATCTCCGTAACTACAAGTCTGATTTGAATAATTCTTTTTGTGTTGGATAGCGCATTTATCGAGGATGGCTTTAGGCTATAAAACATCACGCTACGACCAATAAGAGCTGAGCAGAGCGTGTGAAACCGCGCGGAAGTAGCTAGTAAATAATACATTTTAACACTATTTAATGTACACTGTCTCACACTCATACAGTGTAAGCGCCCAGCACTAGAAAATCCAAATGTAGGGCAATGTCTTATTAACTCGTTGAGTACCGTCATTATAGACACAATTATAGAACAATAGGTTGCGGTCACCGGTGACCGCTTGGTGTTTGACAGTTTAAGAAATATTTACCTTATCCTGGAAGCAGTCGATTTTTGTGTGTGGTGTACCTTGATCCAAGTCCCACAATAACACTGTGTTATCAGCTGATCCACTTGCTAGCACATGTCTGGAAATACAACAATATGATAACTGTTGTGTAGGTAGTATTGACAACTTATTAACATGACCACTTCAGAAACAAGCC